TATCACCAGCTCCATTCATAATGCTGGAGCCCCTGTACCAAACATGTTCTAATAAAGTCACATGGATAGGGAAATGATTAGGGACATGTGAGGAAGACATTGACAGGTGGGTGTAATGTTTGATATAGAAGTCATCATATATCTTGTGCCTCATCTGCCAGGGCCTTCTTCAAGACAGTGAAACTAGTTCTGTGACTTTGTTTCTTCTATTCACCCCAGTTAGGATTCTTGGTCTGCATCTCCGTCCTGCCTCACTTCAGCCTCAGACTGCCTCCCCGTCCTGCCCCACTTCAGCCTCAGACTGCATCTCCTTCCTGCCCCACTTCAGCCTCAGACTGCATCTCCGTCCTGCCCAACTTCAGCCTCAGACTGCACCTCCGTCCTGCCCCACTTCAGCCTCAGACTTCATCTCCGTCCTGCCCCACTTCAGCCTCAGACTGCATCTCCGACCTGCCCCACTTCAGCCTCAGACTGCATCTCCGACCTGCCCCACTTCAGCCTCAGACTGCTTCTCCGACCTGCCCCACTTCAGCCTCAGACTGCATCTCCAACCTGCCCCACTTCAGCCTCAGACTGCTTCTCCGACCTGCCCCACTTCAGCCTCAGACTGCATCTCCGACCTGCCCCACTTCAGCCTCAGACTGCTTCTCCGACCTGCCCCACTTCAGCCTCAGACTGCATCTCCAACCTGCCCCACTTCAGCCTCAGACTGCTTCTCCGACCTGCCCAACTTCAGCCTCAGACTGCTTCTCCGACCTGCCCCACTTCAGCCTCAGACTGCTTCTCCGACCTGCCCCACTTCAGCCTCAGATTGCATCTTCGACCTGCCCCACTTCAGCCTCAGACTGCATCTCCGACCTGCCCCACTTCAGCCTCAGACTGCATCTCCGACCTGCCCCACTTCAGCCTCAGACTGCATCTCTGTCCTGCCCCACTTCAGCCTCAGATTGCCTCTCCGTCCTGCCCCAGTTCAGCCTCAGACTGCATCTCCGACCTGCCCCACTTCAGCCTCAGACTGCATCTCCGACCTGCCCCACTTCAGCCTCAGACTGCATCTCCGACCTGCCCCAATTCAGGCTTTTCTCCCACATTGAGCTAACACTTAAAATCATAATACTGTCCAAAGCATCACAATATATTGTAGTTTACAGGAGAACTACGGTATGTGTGACCGGCACACAGATAGACCCTGCAAACGGATATACACCCCATTTTTCAAATTACCTTGAGGCTTGTAGCCTAGGAAAGTTGATCCGATTTTGGTCCAGTGCAATGTTGACTTTATTTGTGTGGGGGGCGATGGGTTGTGTAACGTAGTGCTTGTCATAAATGTCGGCATTCATTGAAAGACTTCATCCTCTTTCTCCTGGTGGTGTTCTCATCCAAGTCAAATGTTTGCGAAATGCTCTCCAGGAGAAACCCTACAGCTCCTCAGGGACAAGCTGGAGGTCTGAAACAGACTGGCTTATTAACTGTGATGTTTCCCTAATAACTAATGTGGTATATTATTTATTAGTCTGTCTTGCAGACCCTTGTACAAATATATATCAAATACAGCCCATGCAAGTCTATAATGTCTATAATGTCTATAATGTCTATAATGTCTGGCAAGTCTAGATTACTGCAGTATCACGAAAATGAAGAGAGTCACTGGGCTCCCTTTTATTATATTTTTATTAAGATAACTGAACAACTGTTTTTTCTGTACGATATGTTCATTTCAGAGACTAGATGTTAGTCTAATTATTTACCAAAGGTCAATATTTAGAAACTCTGTGACAAATAGGTCCATTGTTTTGAATGGAATAGAATGGAATAGAAGTTAATTGTACAGAATGTCTTCATAGGACAGGGTACAAGCATATCTTTAATATCTGTTATATCTTTGGTGTAATAATACATGATACGTTGATACATACAGAAATCAGAAGTCACATGTAAACAAACAGGTCATGTATCATGATACATTTAGTATTTTCTAAATCGGTAACTAATGCTTGCATTACATTTTACCGATGCCCTAAAACAAACATCTGGTATATATGGCATTTGAAACACTCGTACAGAAACAGAGGCAGGATTGGGGATATATGTTTCTGATGTTACTGAATCCAGGCTTTTGAGTGATTGTGGGTTCCAGCTTGAAGAATAATATGAGGACGTCGTGGTAGAAACTGTCAAGAAGAAACATAGGACATTGCCCTCATTCCTTTCTTTAAAATACCTTTACATAAACATCATACAATAGCAAGCCATGAGACATTTTTACATGGTGTGATCTTTTGTATCTAAACAGGGCACAAGTATGTATTATCCTGGTCGTAACCATCCTCATATTTATTTTACACCCAGACGAATAATAACTTTGTACCCTTGGCAAACAAGATGAGAATAGCCGATCATGCTGGTGTCATCTTCTGTCGTGACTTGGTCTTAAAGAGCCTTAGATTCATTCAATCTGTATGCTATATCTACTAAAATATCTACTAAAATATCTACTAAATATCATGCCCCACTCCGAGGCATGTGTATCTGGCCAGGCACTATCCGTTTATGTTGTTTGGAGATGAAATTTATGGTGTTATGACTGATACCATGTTCCACAGGGCTCCCTATAATGAACGTCTTTCCATGGAGGACAGCTTGAGTTTCACATCATAAATATTGCCCTGTCAACCAGCTGGTGTTTTTTGTGAAAAATATGTATATATAATGTTTTTGTTTAGATGCTTACTTCCTACATCGGCTAAGAAACAAGCGGGTATCCAGTTCGCCTCATTTCAGTGCGTTGGGTTGACATTCTTGTGAATTGTTTTCTTTAAATTGTATCTATTTCATACCCTGATACTTGTTGTAGGGGAATAGTATTTGAACTATTGAACTGTTGAACCCAGTTAAGCACTGCTTCAGTTACAAACTGTTTTCTTCCATTCATAGGGCGATGGGATTTTATGGTGATCTAGCTATTTAAAATGTCATAAGCTTGTTTAAAGACAGCAAAGCAAATAAATGATGCAGTTATATAAGTTAGTTTCAGTTATTAAAGTGATAAATAAGAATACTACTTTCCTAAATAGTTTGACATTGACAGTATGTTGACTTCTTGGCCAATGGTGATGATGATTAATTCAGCCTTGGCATGCCTCAGAATTTGAGTGTTGAGTGAATAAGCTACGCTTTGGGTTATTGTGTAACCATCCATTAATAATTCATCACTGTCATAAGCATAATTGATTCTTAATTGTTGTGACAACAGATGCCTGACAACCTCTCGGTATGAAGCAGTAAGCGCTGGTCTGACTTTGGTTATTATGTCAGGTCCTGAACGAGATGTTGCTTCTGTAGATCCTGTTTTCACACCACCAGACCAGTGTCAGGTGGAGGTAGTCAGTTAGAGCCAGGGTCTCTGTCAGTGATGCAGGCCCAATTGTTTAGTCATTCATGGGGAAGTACGACATTGCATGAAATGGAAACATATGTTTTGAAAGGTTAGTTGAATTTGTGAAGTTTTGTATTATTCCAAAACTTCGAATTGATGTGGCATATCTTGGAAATATGTGCCAATGATAGGCTGGGTACTGGTAACTATAGACCAGGAGATCTATCTATATCATGCTATGTATCCTATCTATTTATCCATCCATCCATCCATCCATCCATCCATCCATCCATCCACCCATGTGTACCAAGCATAGGCTGTGTACTGGTAACAATAGACCAGGAGATCTATCTATATCATGCTATATATCCTATCTATTTATCCATCCATCCATCCATCCATCCATCCACCCATGTGTACCAAGCATAGGCTGTGTACTGGTAACAATAGACCAGGAGATCTATCTATATCATGCTATATATCCTATCTATTTATCCATCCATCCATGTGTACCAAGCATAGGCTGTGTACTGGTAACAATAGACCAGGAGATCTATCTATATCATGCTATATATCCTATCTATTTATCCATCCATCCATCCATCCATGTGTACCAAGCATAGGCTGTGTACTGGTAACAATAGACCAGGAGATCTATCTATATCATGCTATATATCCTATCTATTTATCCATCCATCCATGTGTACCAAGCATAGGCTGTGTACTGGTAACAATAGACCAGGAGATCTATCTATATCATGCTATATATCCTATCTATTTATCCATCCATCCATGTGTACCAAGCATAGGCTGTGTACTGGTAACAATAGACCAGGAGATCTATCTATATCATGCTATATATCCTATCTATTTATCCATCCATCCATGTGTACCAAGCATAGGCTGTGTACTGGTAACAATAGACCAGGAGATCTATCTATATCATGCTATATATCCTATCTATTTATCCATCCATCCATCAATCCATGTGTACCAAGCATAGGCTGTGTACTGGTAACATAGGACCTGAAGATCTACCGCTGATTTCAAAAGTCGTACAAACTTATAGATTACCTTGTTACCTCAAAATAACACAAGACCACCGGACCTGCATTTATTTCATTTTACTTGTCCTTAAGGGAATCTACTGACTGGGACAATACTGATCTTGTTCAGGAATGAAGGGTCATTTGTAGTTGTAGGTGTCAATGATTGAGGCCCTCTTTCAATTTAAAGCACTGAATAATCTTCTTTTTCAGCATATGTTTAGATGTGTTATACAATGTGTGTATCAGTACTGTAAACAGTTGTAGGAGTATGTGCTAGCTGTAGGAAATCTTGATTTTCAGGTAGGAGTATTTGAGCGTGATTTTGTTGTATCCGTTGTGTAGATTCTAGACCTATTATTTTTTATTTGGGACCAAGTTCTGATGGGTTTTTGCAGCCCTTTATTTTGTTCGATATGGAGGCTTTTGATGTATTTATACGCACATTGTGTGAAAAGGCTTTATTTGGAGGTATTTGATACCTCATTTTAGCCAATCTGAATCAAGCATTCATGGTAGAATCTGACAATGTCATGGTAGAATTCTGTTCTAATTCCAAACTTCTTGTCTTCCAGAATGGCTAAACATGGCCAAATCGACGACTCCAACGCCGACCAACCGCGGCTCCAATAGTACTCTGAAAGAGAAACTCCAGGAAGAGTTCCTCTCCTGCAAGATATGCCTTGATCCCATTCGCCGCCCCAAGGCCCTACCGTGCCTCCATAGTTTCTGTGAACACTGCCTCAAGGATTATGTGCGACGGACGCCAGGGGGACGCCCCGGATACTTCCCCTGTCCGATGTGTCGGAAAGAAACGTATATTCCGGAGCGTGGGGTGGAGGACTTTCAGGACAATTTCCTGTTGATGAGTTTATCGGATACCCTAGATGAAGAGATTTGGGAACCTCCTGGATTGAATAATATAAATCATCAGTTGTCTCCCCCTAGACATTTGTGTCCGCCTTCACCGCGGGAAGTGAACCTACGAAATCATGAGTAAGTATTGTCTGTGTATATTATAACATGTACTCTGCCTACTGTTTGAATGTGTTCAACAATGCCGGGGAGATCATACTGTCCACTTTACCATGATAGTCTTGACTGTTTTTTGGAGTATTTTAATATAGTTGACATTTCTCAATCATTTTCTCAGTGAAAGTTGAGATGCTTGTATCCGAAGTAATGTATATTCACAGTGATATATATATATTACTAGAAGCTAAAGAGCACCTCAATCTTTCCTATTACTATACAGCTTTAAACTCACTGGCAGTAGTGACCTGTGCAGAGTTGTTTTCCTTGGTTTCCAGGATTTGCTGATTGTGGATTTGAATGCATATTTACTTATGTCCTGAACGTTGAGATGCTTGTATCCTAAGTAAAACACAGTGATATGTATGTCAAAAGAAGGTAAAGAGCACCCCAATCTTTCCCATGACTATACAGCTTTAAACTGAATTGTTTCCCTTGGATGCCAGGATCTGCTGATTGTGGATTTGAATCCAGATTTACTTATGTCCTGAACATTGAGATGCTTGTATCCTAAGTAAAAACACAGTGATATATGTATGTCAAAAGAAGGTAAAGAACACCCCAATCTTTCCTTTTACTATACAGCTTTAAACTGAGTTGTTTCCCTTGGAATCCAGGATCTGCTGATTGTGGATTTGAATCCAGATTTGCTTATGTCCTGCTGTCTAGTATCACCTTTGCAAGTGTTTCAACAACATGCTCAGGGGTAGAAACTAACAGCTTCAGTCCACCAGTCCTTATAATGATAACATATAGCAAAACCCCTAAAAATGGCAAATGTCTACTAGTCCTTATGATACATTTACTATAGGGCAGTTTGGCAAGGACTACAGGACTAGTGCCAACTCTAACGCTGAATGCTGAATGTCTACAGTCTGCATCTCTCGCTGTTTCCCCCTGCAGTGAGCTGACATGCCTGAATCCTGGTGAAAGGCGCTCAGCTCCATTCCATCCACTCCGTCAATGTTTCGGAAATAATCTCTAACCCTGTTATGTCCGTCTTTAGTTTGAAGGATTATGCTATCAACCAATCAATTTACACCATCAGACGTCAATTTACGCCCATCAACCATCAACACGTATGTTCTCCTGCCTGGAGACATCCAGGCCATCACCTCCACCTCATCTTATCATCCCGGACAGACCTTTATCTCTCCTCCTCCTCCTAATTGTGCTGAAGCCTTACATAGACAATGTGATGATCACGTCACAAGGGCACGCAGAGGTCACTTATCATGGTCACTGGTCAGCCTAATAAGACCTGGGACTAAGATGATGTGACTACTGGTCAGGATAATTTCCTTATTTTGATGAAATGGCAATGGCTGGTCATGGTTAGGATTATAAGATTTGTGCTGGCATTTTGCTGACTGGATTGTGTCGTCATGTAGTTGTGTTGAAACCTTTTCAGGTTTGGCCTCAATAAGTTAATTACTGATCTCATCGGAATGGTTTTCAAATCTAGTGGAGAGGCAGGTTACAGGACTGACTGACTGACTGAGTATGGTTTTACGCCGCTTTTAGCAATATTCCAGCAATATCACGGTGGGGGACACCAGAAATGGGCTTCACACATTGTCAGGTTACAGGAAGAGCCAGTGTCTTTGTACTAGACATGGCAGCCTAGATAGGCTAGAGAGGCTATGAACTAGAAACATTCACTAGCTCTGTAGTCATGTACTGGCCCTTATTTATTTTGTGCTCCCGTGGATCTGGGTAGAGTACGTCTTCAGCAAGCCATGCTTGTCGTAAGAGGCAACTAAGCTTGTCCTAAGAGGCAACTATGTTTGTCCTAAGAGGTGACTAACAGGATCCTGTGGTCAGGCCTGCTGACTTGGTTGATGCAGTCATTGTATCCCAGTTACGTAATTCCATAGTCCCTGCATATTTGATGCAAACATTCCTGAGATTTGAGTTGAGGTGGAACTGATGGAATAAATCCGGTTCTACAAACCTTCAGAATTAAATGAGACTGAAATAAATTAAAAAAACCAGAAACTTTGGAATGTCCACGACCTATATAAAAACTGTATTAGTGTAAAGAAAATCATGACTTCTAAATTAAGAAAGAAAATTATCTCTCCCCCCCTCCCCCCCTTAAAAAAGCCTTCATCCTTCTTGACTGCTAATTTTACAAGGCTATGTAATTGGGGTGTTCAATACAAATGGTATACCAGTAACTATCCAAACTCAAGTAAACAGGACACACTTCTCACTGTTCACGTTACCATTCCATATTGATGACGTAATAGGTAGTATTCATATTGATGACGTAATAGATAGTCTTGTCTATCCACACTACCGTTGTTGCAGTCTGGAGTCGGGATTATTGAATGAAGAAGTACACATATATCATGTACATGTATATATAATTTGGACCCTAATACGTATTGCAATATGTTTTGCAATACAGCTCTCCCTATTGTGATATACTAGTATTGGAATACGATGTCTGTGCCAATATGCCAACCCTACTGTAAAACCCTGACGATGGAACATTGTCGTTTTAGATCTTGCTTCTGAAGGTTTAAGCTTCCAGCACCAATACTAATAAAAGCTCTGTGTTAATATGACACTAATGCCCTCATCAAGTTGTTTGGCAGTGTGAGGGCTCCAACATGATAATGTGTGTAGTATGTGCAAATGACAGTCGATGTACATTTAATGGGAAGCTTGTGGGTGATACATACACCGCGTGCATTTCAAGGTGTAATATGCAATTCACGTGTCACATTTACCAGGAATTCCCTCACAGCTCATCACATTTAGCGTTTTTCTGTTCTGAATTACTGCAATAACATTGCTGTCACAACATACCGACTGTCTCCTGTGTTGAACACAGAATCTCCTTTGAGAAGAGAAACGTTTCTGTATCTGAGCACAGCGTTAGGGTCTTGGGGATCATCCTGCACGAATTGTGATCATTGTCATATTAGCTGCAGAACTTTAGATGCCATCATATGGTCATGAAATCAAAGTCCAAGAATCAATGTAGAGTTAGAAGTGAACATTCAAACAACATAAAAGTTGACACCCTAAAGATCCGGGGTACAATAGGCTTGTCGTAAAAGGCGACTATGTTTGTCGTAAGAGGCGACTAGCGGGATCGGGTGGTGAAGCTCGCTGACTTGGTTGATGCATGTCATCATATTCTAATTTCTTGTTTCTTGGTTCTTTGGTCAATCACTGGATTGTCTGCTCTGATTATTTACAGACCTCCTTCATATAGCTGAAATATTGTTGAGTGGCGTTAAAAAACAAACAAACAAAACCGAAACTTGAAAGATAACCTTTTTCACAGATTCTATTGAAATCTAAGGTGATGTGTACAAAACTGTGCACAGGGCTTGTAGTGGGTTTCTTTATGGCTGGCGAAAAAGTGGCCGTGTTTTGAATTATTGCGGAATGGTGTTGACATTCCAGCTGGCTGTTTTTCCCACTGCATCATGTTCACTGGCATACATCGAGGAGGCGAATGTTGAGAAAGGAGGTAGTGGTACTACAGCCAGTCTTAATCTTCAAAACAAGATGCATGTCTCTTCACTTCGTTTCTTCAGTGTTCTTTGAGATTCTACATGGGTGTGTTCTGTTGGTTAAACATTAGTTACAAACTCTGAAGACCAGGGTTTGATTCCCCATGTTAGTGCATAACACACTGCTGATATATATATATACCGTATTCGACGTAATAAGCGCCCACGGAGATATTTGCTAATATATTGGCTAGTGAACAAACCCAATTAGCACCCCTTTCGATTTATCAATGTACACAAGATTTATTTATTTGCGTATAATACGCACTCGTGTGTTATATGCACCCTTAACTATAGGCAAATAAATTCTGGAAAAATATATCTGTCGTATATAAACATTTCAGGCTGTCAGCATAAACCACCAAATTTATCTTTTAACTCTGTTTTTTTCACCAAAATAATATTCTGATGAGAGCCCCCTATTTCTAATTTTGAGAGGGCCCTGGGCGCTTTTTACGTCAAATACGGTATATATAATGATTTATTATGGCCACAGTCTTTTACTCGTTGACATGCTATATCTATACCTCATCTTGTTCACCCATGAAGATTGGGTTAGATCTGGGTGGTCAGGCTCGTTGACTTGGTCGATGTAGGCCATCATATCCCACTTGGGTAGATCGATCGATCGATGCTCATGATGTCAATCACTTGATTGTCTGAACTCTGGATTATTTACAGCCTGCCGTCATAGCTAGAACATTGCTGAGTGCGGCCGACTTCTTATCAGTTTTGGTGTTGATACTGACATCTTAAACATAGCTGATGTTTTAAAAGTGTTTGTCATGACACCTTAAGCAACGTAGTACCACCAAATTGAAACACCGTCAACATGGACCAAAGACCAGAGTGTGGCGTTTAACAACAAACAAACAAGCTTCATCATGTTCACGGTTGATTTGTTTCATTTTAACCAAATACAAGTTTTTAGCAAATTCTACTGATGATAGTTTATTGACTAATAATATAGCTTCCAGTGACAAGCTTAATGTAGTGGATGTGTTTGTAGGGTTCCAACCCTTCGGGTGACCTACCTGATACTCACATTTGGGTCACTGGTTCCTGCCTGTGGTCAGACTCTGTACCATCAAGGACGTCTGTACCTGCCTGTTGTCAGACTCTGTACCATCAAGGACATTTGTTCCTGCCTGTTGTCAGACTCTGTACCATCAAGTACCATCAGGGACATCTGTACCTGCCTGTTGTCAGACTCTGTACCATCAAGGACATTTGTTCCTGCCTGTTGTCAGACTCTGTACCATCAAGGACATCTGTACCTGCCTGTTGTCAGACTCTGTACCATCAAGGACCATCAGGGACATCTGTACCTGCCTGTTGTCAGACTCTGTACCATCAAGGACATTTGTTCCTGCCTGTTGTCAGACTCTGTACCATCAAGGACATCTGTACCTGCCTGTTGTCAGACTCTGTACCATCAAGGACATTTGTTCCTGCCTGTTGTCAGACTCTGTACCATCAAGGACATCTGTACCTGCCTGTTGTCAGACTCTGTACCATCAAGGACCATCAGGGACATCTGTACCTGCCTGTTGTCAGACTCTGTACCATCAAGGACATTTGTTCCTGCCTGTTGTCAGACTCTGTACCATCAAGGACATCTGTACCTGCCTGTTGTCAGACTCTGTACCATCAAGGACATTTGTTCCTGCCTGTTGTCAGACTCTGTACCATCAAGGACATCTGTACCTGCCTGTTGTCAGACTCTGTACCATCAAGGACATCTGTTCCTGCCTGTGGTCAGACTGTACCATCAAGGACATCTGTTCCTGCCTGTAGTCAGACTCTGTACCATCAAGGACATCTGTTCCTGCCTGTGGTCAGACTCTGTACCATCAAGGACATCTGTTCCTGCCTGTTGTCAGACTGTACCATCAAGGACATATGTTCCTGCCTGTAGTCAGACTCTGTACCATCAAGGACATCTGTTCCTGCCTGTTGTCAGACTGTACCATCAAGGACATATGTTCCTGCCTGTGGTGAGACTGTACCATCAAGGACATCTGTTCCTGCCTGTGGTCAGACTCTGTACCATCAAGGACGTCTGTTCCTGCCAGTAGTCAGACTCTGTACCATCAAGGACATCTGTTCCTGCCTGTTGTCAGACTGTACCATCAAGGACATATGTCCCTGCCTGTAGTCAGACTGTACCATCAAGGACATCTGTTCCTGCCTGTGGTCAGACTGTACCATCAAGGACATCTGTTCCTGCCTGTTGTCAGACTCTGTACCATCAAGGGTGTCTGTTCCTGCCTGTAGTCAGACTCTGTACCCTCAAGGACATCTATCCCTGCCTGTGGTCAGACTCTGTACCATTAAGGACATCTGTTCCTGCCTGTTGTCAGACTGCAGTGTCTTGGAGGCCATGCAATTCTATTGCTGCTAGCTGTGTAAAGAGGTATAGCAGACATATTTCTGAGGTGTTTTGTTTTTGTCAGATGACTTACGATAAGATAATTTGTTATGATGTATTTTCACATCAGTGCACTTGAAGTACAGATGTTTGTAACAGATTTGTTGACATGGAGCTCAGACAACATGTACTTTTAACAAGTTAGCTGACTTGGAAAGGCCACCCATTTGCTTGTAATTGATGGCATTTGAAAATGGTTCTCAGGAATCAATTCTGTATTCATTGTTGCTACAGCTTCTTAAGTGCCACCGAAAGACATTTCTCAGATTCGTACCAACATCTCATGATTTATGAAGCATTGAATGTCTGGTATATTCCCAGCAATGATGTCACTATTTAACAAGATGTACATTTGATCCCATTTTTAGCAGGAACACTATGGTAACCCTGTTGTAAATCTATTCTCAGCCAATTATTTAGTTTCAGATGAATAGATCATTTGTTTTTTAAAATGTTCCGTGTGAAATATGTAAGGTGAGCCACAGAGCCCTATCTTAAAACTTAAACTACAGGAACAAAAAACTCTCTTGATTCCACCACCTAAAAAAACCCCTTGGTTCTGAAATGTTCAAAACAAATGACTTTTTTATCGGCAACTTGTCACAATATTGGACACATTTCGTGTAAGGGACATGTAGGTCTGTAATTGTGAGTCATGTAATGAGTTATAAGGAAAATATCAGCTAGCACCATCAACTGATAGACCAGTCACCTGCTGTGTCTGCCCAGCTCCGTGACAGAGCTCTTTACGCTGGTAATGATATCCGTATTTGAATGTTAGTGGCATTTGATTTAAGGGAATGTGCCTTTCAAAGTTAATGGACATTTTGTCATGAGTTCTCAGCAGATAATTGGGGCTACAGGAAGGGGAACGAACCATTTGTATCATATTTAATACTTGATAAATATCCTATATGATATTCATATTAAATTAGGTTCAGCACTGGGATTCATTAATTGAGACCTGGGACAGTTGTGATGTTCTTGGCATGTGGCAGGATATTTTGATTATTGCCATGTCGACTCAGACCTGTGGTGAATTATCAAGGACATGGGATGTTTTATATCTGCTCAAGATGGAGATATTATTTGTGGAGATGTCAGTCAAATGGAATAAAAGCCACCAGCGCCTTTAGATATTCATAAGAAAACTCTGCTTGAAGCAAAGTCAATTGTACGATGCTGACTATTTCACGAGCATGTGAAGATCCGGGGTAGATTAGGTCTTCAGTTATCCATGCTTGCTGTGAAAGGTCACTATGTTTTTCGTAGGAGGTTGGTTGATGCTTGTCATCGTATCCCAATTGCGTGGATCAATGCTCATGATGTCAATCACTGGATTGTCTGGTCTAGACTCGATTATTTTTCAGACCACTGTCATGTAGCTTGAATATTGGCGTTATACAACAAACGAACAAACAAACAAACAAACAAAGGAGCATTTGTGTATAAATCACTGTCAAATAGGGATGACACCAGGTGTTCCTTTACAAAATCCTCAGGATCAGCGTTTGCTCAGTTTGTTCATGCCGCTGACCACTGATTGCCTTGGCCGGTTTGACATACCAGTAACTATTGCTTGCGGCACCACACAATACCAGTCCAATATAGCAAGTAACTATTGCTTGCGGCACCACACAATACCATATCCAACCTAAATTAGAAAGATATTGTCAGTTTAAATCCAAGTATATAGCCAGTTTGGAGGGATGTCGTGACACAGGTGTCACACGATACAAGACGTATCTTGATACAGAAGCCACGATACCATACGTATCTCGATACTGCATATATAGTATTTTGTCATTTGACTGAGAATAGAGTCCACAGACTCGCTCATACAGGTAAAGAAGGACAACTGACTAATACCCATCGACATGACACAGTCAAGTGAACTATTTTGTATGAGAAAATATTAGTGAGTGAGTGAGTATGGTTTTACGCCGCTTTTAGCAATATTCCAGCAATATCACGGCGGAGGACACCAGAAATGGGCTTCACACATTGTACCCATGTTGGGAATCAAACCCGGGTCTTCGGCATGACGGACCAACAGTTCAACCACAAGGCTACCCAACCGCCCCTGAGAAAATACTAAGAAACAAACACTTTATATATTGTATTATGACAGGCAGCAAGGAAAAGCTGTTTAGTCTTGTTATCGGACCAGTTTCGTAACCGAAAGTGGACCAAGAAAGTTGGGAGGAATTAAAACCATTGTTTGTACTTGCTTTTTGATATCGAAGCTTTATCAACATGGACAATCGATATGGGGTTAAATGTGAATTGATGCCAAATTATATGTATGGGGTATCGTGTTGTGAGAACTGTGCTGACGATGCCCGGTGTACCAGTGAATCGCAACATCACTACGAGTTTGGCGTGGTGTTTGTTGAGTACAACATGACTGGCACTAGTGTGATGCATGTAGAGGTTAGACTTGGCATAGTCTACTTTTGAATTGAGTTTGAGCCATGGAAATCTTGTTCACCCACTATAGTTTTTCTCAAGATTAATTTGTGTTTTGCTGTCAAGACAGTTTCAGTCTGCATGGTCCTGTGTTTCCCATTGGCCTACAGTTCAGGTTTAGATAGTTACGGCCTCGGACTATCTACTCTACAAATGTTTGGCATCTAGCAGAGATGTCCAAGTTGGAACAGTCCCTTTCTTCAAACCTGACCTTGGGGCGGTCGGGTAGCCTAGTGGTTAAAGGGTTCGCTCGTCATGTCGAAGACCCGGGTTCGATTCCCGGACATGGGTACAATGTGTGAAGCCCATTTCTGGTGTCCCCCGCCTTGATATTGCTGGAATATTGCTTAAAAACGGCGTAAAACCATGCTCACTCACTCACTCACTCACTCACTCAAACCTGACTTTCATGGTCCAGTATTCATGTGCTTTTAATGTGTCTATATTAGTGGGCAAGTCTAGATTACTGCAGTATCTGAAAATGAACAGTTTCTTGGCTCCTTTTTATTATATTTTTATTAAGATAATTTAACAACTGTTTTTCTCTGTAAGATATATTCATTTCAAAGACTAGATGTCAGTCTAGGTCCTCTATTCATGTCTTGTTTTTGTTATTTTCAGATGGTATTTCGGCAAAGTGAGTCGAAATGCCTCCGAGGAGTGGCTTCTGTCGCCAGGATATGCCAAAGGAACATTTCTTGTCCGACAAGGAGAGGCATCGCCAGGTAAACATGGGTTATGTCACAGTTGTCCATTTGGCAGTGATGAATATGGTCATTGATGATGAGAGATATCATGCTCTTTGTAGGCCTGGACGATTGTTTGAAACGTTTACTGTGAATCTAAAGAAATAATCCAACAGCAATGGATTTTTTTTAAGCATGTTTTCGCCACAAGAAAATGTTTGTGAAGATAGTCAAAACAAGTTGTTTAGATAAGCTGTAAGTGTATTCAATTTTCTGATATCTGAGACTCTTGCGATAGAATTACATACCGTAAAATGAAACAACTCAGTAAAAATAATTATTATATGAAAAGCTCTGATGCAAGTAATTTCTGTGGTTTTAACCATTCATCCTGTCTGTCTTTTAAGGAAAAAATAGTAATAATAACAATATTATTCTTGATTCATGTTTGGATATTGTAAGAAACAAACATTTTATTGAGTGGTAAAACTAATTGATTGTCAGCGAAGTGTATTGACAGATTTAATAACGTAGGCGAGCTGTCTGTCAACGTATTAATTGATTTTGCTGGCAACGTGTTTGTTTTGTATGATTTCCCTTGTCAAAACGTGTGTTTCCATCATGTCCGCATGTATTGATTGTATCAAGTATTCTTTTTGGATAGATGGATATTTCTGTAATTTGACATTGTATTGAAGGAAAAGTACCTGATGATTATGTATTTTATTACAAGTAATAGTCTCTCTATAATGGGTTGTGTGTTTTGCCATTTTAGCTTGATTGTGTTCATGTTTGATACGGTATCTTGGGAGATATGTGGCGTCAGACTTTCAAATGGCCCTGTGGGGATTCCTTGATAGACCTGGTCCCTGTAACCTGTGTCATCTTGCCCTGATTGATATTGGCTCATGGTATTGCCGAGTTTAGACTATTTCAGTGTTGGAGGCGGTTGGGTAGCCTAGTGGTTAAAGCGTTCTCTCGTCACGCTGAAGACCCGGGTTCGATTCCCGACATGGGTACAATGTGTGAAGCCCATTTCTGGTGTCCCCCGCCGTGATTTTGCTGGAATATTGCTAAAAGCGGCGTAAAACCATACTCACTCACTCACTCACTCACTATTTCAGTGTTGACATGATATAGCTGGAACACTGCTGTCTGTGGCGTTAAGCGTCATTCACTCACTCAATACTCAATAGTGATTATTGCATAACGCCACATCAGCAATACTAGGTTAGAAATTGACCCTACCACTGTAGTCCTTGCCAAACTGTCCAATAGTTAAGGTATCATAAGTACTAGTAGAAAATTGCTATTTTTAAGGGTTTTGCTATATGTAATAATAATAAGGATTAGTTGACTAAAAATGTTAGTTTCTACCGCTGCAATCAAGTGTGGGCTGTTGAGTTTCCTACCATTAGGTTATACCCAAAAGCCATGAACATGCTGGCCATTAGAACCAATGCATATAGCTAGAAACCCAGGACTTTTGAATATGTCCGCAATGCCCTCGTACTTGGGGTTGTTTCTCAATGATTTTGAAGTTGGTCTGAATTATCCCAGTGTTGTGTGAATGAATCTCTGTGGTGTGAATGAATCTCTGTGGTGTGAATGAATCTCTGTGATGTGAATGAATCTCTGTGGTGTGAATTATCCCAGTGTGGTGTGAATGAATCTCTGTGGTGTGAATTATCCCAGTGTGGTGTGAATGAATCTCTGTGGTGTGAATTATCCCAGTGTGGTGTGAATGAATCTCTGTGGTGTGAATTATCCCAGTGTGGTGTGAATGAATCTCTGTGATGTGAATGAATCTCTGTGGTGTGAATGATCCCAGTGTGGTGTGAATGAATCTCTGTGGTGTGAATGAATCTCTGTGGTGTGAATTATCCCAGTGTGGTGTGAATGAATCTCTGTGGTGTGAATTATCCCAGTGTGGTGTGAATGAATCTCTGTGGTCTGAATTATCCCAGTGTGGTGTGAATGAATCTCTGTGGTCTGAATGAATCTCTGTGGTGTGAATGATCCTCAGGGCTGAATGATACTATTGTCAGATCATAGGTTTTCAGACGTCATAGGTTTTCGGACGATGTTTATCATGTTTACTCACGCGATAACGGAGGGTGTAACATTACACAGACATTGCAAATACTCACATGATGGCTGGTTTTTGTTAGAGAAAATTGTCTTTTATAAGTGAATGAGATGTTTTTCAGTTTTTATTGTGGTTAAAGAAAAAACTACGAATGTTTCTTAAGCATGTGAAAACCCATATCACGGGGATATTTTGGTGTGAATGATTCCTCTGTTGCGAATCTGTGTTGGTTGGAATGATCCTGATTTCCGTTGGTTGGAATAGTCTGTTTGTTAGTTGGAATGAAGCATATATTTGTCTGAATGAATCAGTCGTTTGAATTCTTCCTATGAATGATCTAAATGTTTATCTGAATGCATGGTCTTCATGGCGTGGAGAATGTTCTCGCTGGCAATGAACATGCCCTTTTTTTAAAATGACCAACTTGCCTATTTAAGCATGATATTTTGATGTGCAATCATCTCATTATGGCCCATAACAGCTGCAGGTGTCCAAAGTTGCCCGGCATGTTTGTAATTGATTACCTGTACGTAGGAAATAAACACCTTTCATCAATTTCATCGCCCATTACTTGTTCCGGAACTTGGTGTTGATTACCCGTGGGTGTGTGGCAATGGACTAAACATGTGGCTATCAGTTGCATATTTCATGATGCTCCTATCACAAGTTCTTTGATCTTCGTCATTGTATCAGTCAGTGTTACAGGCATTTGTTCAATTCATGTGATAATGCATTCATACATTGTCTCATGTTGATGACTTGTGTTTGATTGCTGTCAGTGTATGAGTTTAACATGGTTGTGAATGTGTTAGATATTGCCTGGTTTAACAGTGGTTGATGTTTGGAGATTGATGTCTTCATTGACTTTATTGGTTTGGAGTGAAATAAATAATTTGTAGGGTGACATTTTGTTGTAGTAAAACACCATTTACAGTCCGAACATTTATTCTCAAGACTTAACTACATATAATCAATCAGTTAGTATACCGGTACATACAGTTTATAGTTTTGGAAGATAATGGTTTATTGGTTTATATGCAAACAAACATTATTTGTTTTTCACTTATAATAAAGCTGTAATTTGGTTTCAATATGACATTGGTCTTTGGTATTATATGATATATTGTTAGAGTCCTGGTATATGGGATAATATGAAATGTGGTTAGAGTCCAGAGACAAGATTAGGTATGACAAAGTGAGGTATGGTATGACACAGTGATGTATGGTATGACACAGTGAGGTATGGTATGACACAGTGAGGTAATGTGTCACACAGTGAGATATGGTATGACACAGTGAAGTATGGTATGACACGGTGAGGTATGGTATGACATGGTGAGATATGGTATGACACGGTGAGATAAGGTATGACATGGTGAGATATGGTATGACATGGTGAGATATGTTATGACACAGTGAGATATGGTATGACACGGTGAGATATGGTATGGTGAGGTATGGTATGACACGGTGAGGTATGGTATGACACAGTGAGGTATGGTATGACACAGTGAGGTATGGTATGACACGGTGAGATATGCTATGACACGGTGAGATATGGTATGACACGGTGAGATAATGTATGACACCGTGAGATATGCTATGACACCGTGAGATATGGTATGACACAGTGCAATATGCCTTGATGCATGGTCTAACATGATACAATATTGTATGACATGGTGTTAGTATTCATTGATACATGGTCTAACATGATACAACATTGTATGACATGGTGTCAGTATTCATTGATACATGGTCTAACGTGATACAGCATTGTATGACATGGTGTCAGTATTCATTGATACTTGGTCTAACGTGATACAACATTGTATGACATGGTGTCAGTATTCATTGATACTTGAATAACTTGATAAAACCTTGTTCTCCCTGTGTTTTCAGACACGTATACCTTGTATTCCATGGCTCTCCCTGTGTTTTCAGACACGTATACCTTGTCTGTGCGAGACTACGATGAACTCCGAGGTTACCTGGTCAAGCATTACAAGATCTTCACCAGCCGATCTGAAGACTCACTCAAGGAATTCTACTTCATTTCTGCTAAAAGAATGTTTCGCTCTCTGCCGGAACTTGTGAACCACTATAAAGGTACTATATCATCCTTGCTTCATCGAGTCTACCGTATTTCCTCTATTAGACGCCCGGGCTTCTATTTATTTCGGACAAGCCTTTGACCGGGCGTCTATTGGAGGCCCGGCTTCTATTAATACCCCCCATTTCACTATAACTACGAATGTCCCAATCGTCATGAAATTATGTAATTTAGGTCCCAAAAAGGGATCATTAATTGTATCAGTTGATCGACCCGGCGTCTATTTGAGGCCCGGCTTCTGTTTTTTTCACTGAACAATTGATCCGGCTTCTATTAGAGGCCGGCGTCTAATAGAGGAAATACGGTAAGTGTGTTCCTCATGTGGGACAGCGCTCCTCATGCTGATATGATTCGTAAATCTAATTGTAACATGTTGTTAACAAATATTGGTGGTTTAGAGTGTAAGATAAGTTACCTCCCTTACTTTTTACATCATGTTCACATGAATGCATTATTTAAAGCCATCTAGTTTAATAATGATGACGGGGGGCCCAGTTGTCTAAGGCGCCATGATTCGCCATGCAGAGTTGTAGAAATCTATGATTGTGGGTTCGAATCCCGGTTCGCCCCGATTATGTTTCTAGGTTTGTCAGTACCATACCCGTGCTCGTGGGTTTCACCGAAGTGGTAAACGTCTGAGACCTGCATCACTTTGGGCTTTCCTCCCACATTAAGCTGACAGGCCGTGATATAGCTTGAATACTGTTATAAGCGGCGTTAAACCCAACTCACTCACTCACTAATAATGATGACACCTCATACCAGAGTGGACCATTACTAGTGCTTTCTCTTCTTTCAGAAATCATTGATGGACTGTGCTGCAAGCTTACACAAGTGTGTTCTAAGCCTCGGTCTCTTCTGTGGGCAATGGAGCGGGGCAAACAGGACGAGTACCTCACATTGAAATCCACCCTGGTTGTTATCAAACGTCTAGGAAGTGGACAGTTTGCAGAAGTGTGGCTAGGTATTTATGATGATATTTAGATGGTATTTCTTCAGCAACCCATGCTTGCTGTACAAGGCGACTATGCTTGTCGTAAGAGGCGACTAGCGGGATCGGATGGTCAGGCTCGCTGACTTGGTTGATGCATGTCATCGATCCCAATTGCGTGGATCGATGTTCATGATGTCAATTACTGGATTATCTGCTTCAAACTCGATTATTTACAGACCGCCGTCACATAGCTGGAATATTGCTGAGTGCGGCGTTAAACAGCAAACAAACAAACAAAACAAAAGATGGTATTTAGGTGGTAAATCAGAAAGAATTTGATTCATTACAGGATCCGGAAAGTAACAGTAGGTGACATCACCAGATATTGCTGTAACATTATCCATTGTTGTATATACATGATGTGATTTTTGTCTCATGTACGTTGATGTTTTACACAAGGGCTGAGTTTGATTGGTACTTGAAACAAAATGTGATCCTATATACATTATGTGATGATGTTTGTCTCGGAGTAGATTAATGTTTCACGTAAGGGCTGAGTTTGATTGGAACTTGAAACAAAATGTTATCCTATATACATTATGTGATGATGTTTGTCTCGGAGTAGATTAATGTTTCACGTAAGGGCTGAGTTTGATTGGAACTTGAAACAAAATGTTATCCTATATACATGGTGTGATGTTTGTCTCGGGGTAGATTAATGTTTCACGTAAGGGCTGAGTTTGATTGGAACTTGTGGTAGAGTTCTCACTGAGATCTCCATGTCTTCACTTGGACACACTGTGAAAGCCACTGTTAGTGTTCAGCATCCATTCACTTACTGCACTGATGTGTAAATACTTTGATGGCCGGCAACTCGCCTCGTTCTGAGAATGACATAGTGTCTCTGTTTATACATAGCAAAAATACATCTCACTTCTGACAGTTAATAAAAATAGGACAGTATACCAACATTTGGATTGTTTTGTATTTCAGGAAAGTGGAATTCATCGAAAGAAGTGGCTGTGAAGATGCAGAAACAGGACTGTGTAACTACGGCAGCATTCCTGGACGAGGCACAAGTATTAAAAACATTACAGCACCCCAACATTATCAACATCCTGGGAGTGTGCTGTGAAAACGAACCAATATACCTTCTCACGGAATACATGATTAATGGCCGATTGTCGTTGTATCTGCGAGAAGGCAAGGGGAAGAATCTTGCACTCAGTCAGTTATTGTGGATTGGAGCACAGGTATTGAACACAAAGTGTTTACAATGCTTTACATATTGAACATTTGGTTTTTATTTGAATGTGTAAATTGTGTGATTATGAGACCAAGAGTCTCTTGGCCGTGACAGAATTGTGTGCTCAACCTCGAGCACTCCTTAGATTAGTTGTCTTCTACCACTCTTTATGTGATTGGAAAGGAGAGTCCTGTGTAGACTATATCTATCTACTTGTCACTCACAGTAGTTGTGGCTCTCTCGGGGCAATCTAATTATTACCGTATTTGCCATGTTAAGCACTCTGTTCCTCCCTCGGGGGCACGGGTGGCCCAGTCGTCTAAGACGCCGCGATTCGCTGTGCAGAGTTGCGTCCCTTGAGCATGCCAGAAACCTATGATTGTGGGTTCGAATCCCGTTTCGCCCAAATAATGTTTCTAGGTTTGTCAGCACCATACCCGTGCTCGTGGGTTTCACCGAAGTGCTAAACGTCTAAGACCTGCATCACTTTGGGCTTTCCTCCCACATTAAGCTGACATGCCGCGATATAACTGGAATACTGTTAAAAGTGGCGTTTAACCCAACTCACTCACTCACTCACTCACTGTTCCTCCTTCACTTACTTCTAGAATAATCTGTAATCAATATGAGTAAAAGGTGACTAACAGGATCGGGTGGTCAAGCTCAGTGACTTGGTTGATTCATGTCGTCCTGTCCCATTTGCGAGGATCGATGCTCATGATGTCAATCACTGGATTGTCCCGTCCAGAATCGATTATTTACAGGCCGCTGTCATTGCTGAATTATTGCTGAGTGTGGCATTAAACAACAAAACAAACCAAAAATCCTAAGATGCACAATTAGCGTGACACTCTGAATTTCCTTGTGTATATTACATATTTATTTACAACAAAAAAATGCAGAAAGGGTAAATAATTGGCCGGTAACTGTTATAAAAAAACACTCGGCCTGTGAACATCAATGTAACTCAATGTTTATAGTTTTAATTGACACACCTCCTTTGTCAATTTTCAAAGTGCCTGGGAGCTTATTACCGTGACTATGGTATGTTTCATTATTTTAGGTGAAAACAAGCTTCATTTGTCCGACCGCTACTTGAACCTCTGTTTGATCTTGGACAGATAATCCTAGATTTGTTTTATAACGTTGTTAACATTTCAGATTGCTGATGCCATGGCCTACATGGAGAAGGAAAAGTTTGTACATAGGAACTTGGGAGCCCGAAATATTCTGGTTGGGGAACACAACAAGGTGAAGGTCGCCGGCTTTGGCATGACAAAAGCCATGGATGATCCTGATTTTAACTTCAGGAGAGGTAGGAATCAAGGTATTACCGGAAGAGGGAGGTGGGAAACGTAGCCTAGTCGTCTGTGTAGATCTCGTCACGTAGACTCTTCCTTTCTCTGTGTGGTGTCCTTCATTTCGAGTACAGTCATTTCTGGAATACTGGAAAGAAGAGAGAATTACTGCGGAGCTCTCCTGGTATAAACTCTTTTTTTTTCTTTGTATGGTGTCCTTCCGTTGGGGTTCAGCTATTAAGGTATTAAGTAAACTAGATTCTGTAGAGGTGTTGCCTCTTCTGAGGTAGATAGGCGCCGCAATTCGCTGTGCAGAGTTGCATCCCTTGGGCACGCAGAAACCTATGATTGTGGGTTCGAATCCCAGTTCGCCCCGATTATGTTTCTAGGTTTGTCAGCACCATACCCGTGCTCGTGGGTTTCACCAAAGTGGTAAACGTCTGAGACCTGCATCACTTCGGGCTTTCCTCCCATATTAAGCTGACACGCCGCGATATAACTGGAATGCTGTTCGGCATTAAACCCAACTCACTCACTCACTCACTCTGAGGTAGATAGATTACTTTCTCAGGTGGCAGATGTATCACCTAACTGAGGAATATCTTGATGATGACATCAGCCTTCGGTTATGTATTCTTGGCATGGGGGTGTTTTTAATTTCTGTTCTTTTCTATTCTGTTTGCATGGAATAATCAAATAAGAACTTACTTCTTCGTTAAAAAATACGATTTTTATACAATGTTTTTATAACAATGATCAAAGCTTGATTATCTTACCAGAAATTATTGACAAGTCATTTGTTTAGATATTGAAAGTGCATCTCCATTATGTAAGATTCAGGTCCCTTCCACATTCTCAGATGCTGGGTATGTTTCCTACTTGTAACAAATAAACTAGTGACAAAGTAAGATATGTACAAATACTGCCAGCCCATGGATATAGTATTTGAGTTAAAATTAATGAAGTATGGTTTGTGAAAAATACTATTTTGAATCAAATTCCAAATGAATGTTTTTACTTGTGCAGGTCTGAAGATGGCAATTAAGTGGATGGCGCCGGAAGTATTATTATATAACAAGTACAGCACAAAGGCAGATGTGTGGTCGTTTGGTGTCGTGCTCATGGAGATTCTCACATACGGCAAAGAACCCTATGAAGGTGTGTGATTGTTGAACAGCCAGTTGCAGTAAAGTCATGGAGGCACATCCCCATGAAACACCCTCTTTTAGTTCTTTCCTGGGGAACGTTTGACCCAGGCCAGTTCTACCGGGAAGTAATAGCCTGGGTCGGTTCTTCCCCACCCTGGCCAGACCTGCACTCCCCACCCCTGGCCAGTTCTTCCCCATCCCTGGCCAGACCTGCACTCCCCATCCCTGGCCAGACCTGCACTCCCCACCCCTGGCCAGTTCTTCCCCACCCCTGGCCAGACCTGCACTCCCCACCCCTGGCCAGTTCTTCCCCACCCCTGGCCAGACCTGCACTTCCCACCCCTGGCCAGACCTGCACTCCCCACCCCTGGCCAGTTCTTCCCCACCCCTGGCCAGACCTGCACTCCCCACCCCTGGCCAGTTCTTCCCCACCCCTGGCCAGACCTGCACTTCCCACCCCTGGCCAGACCTGCACTCCCCACCCCTGGCCAGTTCTTCCCCACCCTGGCCAGACCTGCACTTCCCACCCCTGGCCAGACCTGCACTCCCCACCCCTGGCCAGTTCTTCCCCACCCCTGGCCAGACCTGCACTCCCCACCCCTGGCCAGTTCTTCCCCACCCCTGGCCAGACCTGCACTTCCCACCCCTGGCCAGACCTGCACTCCCCACCCCTGGCCAGTTCTTCCCCACCCCTGGCCAGACCTGCACTCCCCACCCCTGGCCAGTTCTTCCCCACCCCTGGCCAGACCTGCACTCCCCACCCCTGGCCAGTTCTTCCCCACCCCTAGCCAGACCTGCACTTCCCACTGAATTACGTGGGGAAGGTACAGTCTGTTTAGCCTAGTTCTTCCCCACCTTAGGTGAAATCAAAATTTAAGAGGGGTTGGGAAAAACTGGCCAGGAGAAGGTTTAGCCTTCTTACCCCCTACCCCAGGACCCGTGAAGATCCGGGGTAGAATAGGTCTTCAGCAACCAATGCCTGCCGTAAAAGGCGACTATGCTTGTCATAAAAGGCAACTAACAGGATCAGGTGGTCAGGCTCGCTGACTTGGTTGATGCATGTCATCGATCCCAATTGGGTGGATCGATACTCATGATATTAATCACTGGATTGTCTGGTCCAGACTCGATTATTTACAGACCACCGTCATATAGCTGGAATATTGCTGAGTGCGGCGTTAAACAACAAACCAACCAACCAACAGTGGCAGTACCCACCTGGAATTTACTACTCGCATCTAGAAACTTATTTCACTCATATAAGGATTAGATACAGTTTGAATTTAAGCAGACCAACCAATTTGATGCTCCATTTGTATTTTTGATGGTATTTTGTTTTCTTCAGGACTGCCAAGCAAGGAAGCCTTTGAACATGTGCAACAAGGCTACAGAATGCCCAAGCCGGATATCTGTCCAATTGAAGTGTATGATGTCATCTTGACGTCCTGGAACACTAACTCTCACTCGCGGCCATCCTTTGACTTTCTAAACACATTCTTGCATGACTTCGGCAGTTGATTCTGCTGACAAGCATGTAGGGATTTAATAGCCAGTAAATTCGTCCTGCGTCGATCGCCAAAGGGCAAGCACGATATGTAGCAAAGACTACTGGTGGAGAAAGTTGTACGCTGTGCTTGTGTCTGTTACCATGGTTACAACGCAAAGGGAAGGAAGATAATCATGGAAGAAAGAAGAATTTTAGGAAATGGTTTTAACATGTGGACCGAGTTGGTGACGTGACCCAAGAAAGTTGTGATTAAACTCTCATCTGTGTTGTGAAATACTTGGCAGCACCTGTGCATGTGCTTTAAGACACTGAATTGTCTCAGTGGTATGGTGACAAAGACCATACAGATAATTGTTCTTCAGTTTCTGTTGTAGAAACCTTGTTCAAACTCAGTTATTGCATTTAATGAAAGTGCTATGATGTGGAGACTTCATGGTGCAAGGGAGGTAACTCTGCCAAATAGACCCAAACAGACTATCAGTTCAAAGAAGACTGTTTCGCATTTATCTTTTTCAATACGTTCATCATTTGTAAGTTAGTGTTCAAGTGGAAGCATGCATAGTCACATTCATATTAGTCATTCATTGTCTTTGACCGTCATTGACCGTTTGGTGTCAATATGGGGCCATCACCAAACTGTAAATCTCTCAAAAAGAACCACGGTTCACAATGTAACTTTATTTCAGTAAGACCGTTTGGTGTCAATATGGGGCCATCACCAAACTGTAAATCTCTCCAAAAGAAACACAGTTCACAATGTTTATTGAAGTAACATTAGGGTTCCACTTTTCGATGTGTATACTACAAATGTTCAGACATAGATCACTTGAAACACCTCCTCTGTATCCGAGACTTGACTACACTGTCATGGAGTAGTGGTCACACACGTCATTCGGCTAATTTTCACACAGTTTCTCATACTAAGGGAAGACTCAGGTTTATATCGTTTAGTGGCACTGATTATGTGCAGAAAACTGTCAACTTTAACATAATGTAGAGTTCAAACCAATATTAAAAACACATTACAAGGTGCCACTATTTCAAATATTGGAATGCTTGTCGTAGGAGCCGACTAACGGGATCGGGAGGTCAGGCTTGCTGACTTGGTTGAAGCATGTCATGATCTCAATGCTCATGTTGTCAATCACAGGATTGTCTGGTCCAGCCTCGATTATTTACAGACCGCCGTCATATGGCTGGAATATTGCTGAGTGCGGCGTTAAACAACAAACCAACCAACCAACCTACATATTGGACACAGAAAATATGATTCAGAAATTAAGCTAAGGTATCAGGTCATGTGCATGTGGCGTTGATTCACTGATAGGTACCTTTGTGTTTGACAACTTTAGATTTCTATTCCTCATTATCCTGAACACAGGGGCAGTCGGGTAGCCTTGTGGTTAAAGCGTTCGCCCGTCATGCCGAAGACCCGGGTTCGATTCCCAACATGGGTACAATGTGTGAAGCCCATTTCAGGTGTCCCCCGCCGTGATATTGCTGGAATATTGCTAAAAGCGGCGTAAAACCTTACTCACTCACTTTCCTGAACACAAAGGGGCGATCAGGTAGCCTAGTGGTTAAAGCGTTCACTCGTCACGCCGAAGACCCGGGTTCGATTCCTGACACGGGTACAATGTGTGAAACCCATTTGTGGTGTCCCCCGCCGTGATATTGCTGGAATATTGCTAAAAGCGGCGTAAAACCAAACTCACTCACTTTCCTGAACACAAATTTCAGTCATTTTGATGACACTGTAATAGGAGGAAGGTAGGTGTGCAGACGTAAAACAATTACTAGAAACTGTGACATTATGTTGAGAAATCCTGGTTACTGATCGGAAATTCCAACTCCCCTCTGTGACCAAACAATTACTTCACTTCTGCTTCAGCTCCTGTGGAGATGCTATGTCAGATTTACTTCGTTGCATGTGATTAATGAGTGAGTGAGTTAAAATTTTACATCGCATCGGCAGTATTGCAGCCATATTGCGATGAGAACAAGGTAGTTTCTACAATTAAAGACCTGTCGACAAAGGACCGAAAACAGTAAGGTAAATATCACAGTTTAGATATAAAACAAACCTAAGCAATAATAAAACAAAGAATTTTTTAGCAGATTATTTCCTATAAATTAAAACCAGGCTATAGACCACAAGCAACCAAAGCTAGACCACCTAACTGGGAATCATGGGGACTTACAGTGCTTTTGCTTCCTGCATGATTCCCGGCAGGATTTATGCCGTCACTTTTGTCACGAGTGGTTGTATGAATTGCTAACCAATATTAAAAAATATACGCACAATCAATACATTAAAACACTAGTTGACATTAAACACTTCAAAAAGATGGACATACGTGCAACTGTCAGGGGGACAAGCATGTGATTTATGCCTTAGCCAGGATATTCTATAGTCAGGATGAGGACCCCCACTACACCTTGACACTGCCTTAGGATCCATTGATTTGCTGTTTGATATACCCCCTGCAAGCTTGTTCAGCCACATACATGACATTTCATCGACTTCATTTGTCTGTCATCATTTTCCTGTCTGTTTATTGTGTCAAATTTCCATCCTTTTCATGTAAATACTTCATCTGTATATAACTCACCAATCATGCTAAAGAGACAGCTGTAAACTGCTTGTAAACACCGCAAATAGCTGCTTGACTGTTCCCACGTGCTTACATAATTATGTAAATTTATGCAAAATAGATTGATCATTATACAGGGAGTACTATTTCACTTTGTGGCAATGTATTTGAGATAGATGGTTCATGTATCTAGAATGGATATTGTGTTAACACAAGCCTGCATATTGTGGTCCTGAGGATACTTGACGCTGGTGACTGTGACTGTAACAGAGATTGTCCATGTATACTGCATTTACACATTTGCTCAGAAAGGACAATGAAGAGACAAATTTGAGAGATAATAGTATTATTGACTGAAACTACTCTGTAATCAATGATATGAAATCATAACCATTATGCATTGTGATCAGCTGTAATATATCAGCTGTTCAGGGGCCGACCATTTGATATTTGGGGGGGGGGGGGGGGGGGGGGGATTTTATTGAAAAATATAAATTGCCCCCATAATTGCCTGATAATAAAAAATTGTGATTTAGAACTGTCTGCCACAAAAATACATTGTTGTAAGATGGTTTTAAACAAATACTTGGTTTTGCAGCTTTAGTTGAAATATATCTAGTCTCCATACAAAACCCAAGGCCCCCTTCAAATATGAAATAGTCTGTCCCTCACAAAGAAAAGGGCATTTCATGTGAATTATCAGAAGTTCTGATACCATGCTCAAGGCGTCATCGATACAAGTTATTATGATTCTAACAACCAGCTCATTTGCATAATTATTGTCCTGTGTTCTACTAAGGTGTATATACTAGCAATGTGATATCGTTTGTATCTCACTCTAGGTGTACATATTACATGTTTTCTGTGCATATAACATCAGTACTGAAGGAAGTTGTAAGAACTTCTAACAGATGCATACTTGAGAATGATTATTGTGCTGGTGTATAAAATATTCATCTTTAATTTAACATACCATAGTGTGAGTGTACATACAGACGAGGTGGAAATATTAGGTTGATCCTTTTAGTATGGATAACAGGAAATATGTTTCTATGTAAATTTATATTTCTGATGGGATTTTAATTCAGAAACGTCCTATGGATATTGAAGTCTAGGAATGAAATTCTGCAATATGTGTTTTTGTGAAAAATATATGTTTAACGTAAGGTTCATGTTCATAGGATATAATATATTTTTCTAAATCTTTAAGTGTCTTCTACTCGGTGGCAACTTTGTGCCATTTTTAGAAACTTCTTGTAGTTATTAAGTGTTTTTTGAACCTCAAATTCTTCATAAAAATGTTAAATATGTTTGACACATATTTGAAAGGCTGCATTTGACATTTGTAGGTATTTTACAATGATATTGATTTTTTTCTACTTCTCAAGTTCGGAGGTCTTATTTCTTTAAAACTTGCAAACACTGAGACCTGTAACAGTAAAGATTAATAACATGTTCCTATTAAAGTGTTTGATCTCATGTTGAGGGTATAGATCGGAATATGCTGTATTCATAAGTAATGGTATTTTCTCTTGAAATAAGGGATGTGCTGAGAACAGAGTTTTATTTTGATGGGTCATATCCAGACTATCAGTGATTAATTATCTTCACTCATGATGTAATTCACAGTTCTCAATTTGTTATTCCAAATCAATTGCTTTTATTCCAAGATAGAAATTATTCTTTCATGATTCCTGAAAAGTAAAATCTCTGTTTTCTGAATGGATTATTTCTACGTTTATGAACATTTAGTTTGAAGGAATTGACCCTTACATTAATGCATATTTGTAAATAACACTGGAATCCACTGCATGATAAGTTACAGACATGTACAAATGATATCTATTTCATGTCAATCTTATTTCTGGCCTATTTCCCTGTTAATAGAATGATGTGCATATTTGTGGATCTAGGCTGTACCTAGGGCACTTGTTATGTTGTCACCGATTGGTCAGTGATCGTCTGAACACTTGTGATGTTGTCACCGATTGGTCAGTGATCGTCTGGACACTTGTGATGTTGTCACCGATTGGTCAGTGATTTGCAGGTCACTGTAAACTTGTCACTGATTGGTTAATTGATATGTGTCACTTGAGCTTTAGGTGAGTCTCTCAGGCTTATTGCCGCTGTAGATTATACTTAAGTCATATCAATGTCAGTGTCTCATCATTGTGTATAAAATGTTACAGAAGCAGAGCTGTGTTGTAGTTTTTTGTTTTAAAGATATTCTGGATTCTAGACCGCATCGGTAGTATAGGGACTATACCGCTACTGCATCACTTAATTACCGATTGAAACAAAACCAACCACACACCTGTGAGCAATATGTATTCAAAGGCATAATTTTATTATGTTTAGGGGCGGTCGGGTAACCTAGTGGAAAGCATTCGCTCGTCACGCTGAAGACCCGGGTTCGATTCCCGACATGGGTACAATGTGTGAAGGCCATTTCTGGGGTCCCCAGCCGTGATATTGCTGGAATATTGCTAAAAGCGGCGTAAAACCATACTCACTCACTCACTCACTCACTCTATTATGTTTAGAATAGCTTTAAAATTGCTGATGAGTTGTAGTTATGTTTTGTTTTTTTGTTTATACCAAAGTCAGCAATATAACAGCATATATTACAACTTTGCCTAGAGTCCTATGCCAGAAGGCGGTGGCTCATGGGCCAATCTGGCATTATTGACCTCCAGGTTCTGATTGTCTTCAGATAATTGTATAGGGCAGAACCAACCTGACTCTTATTCTGATTGACACTATTAGCTCCCTGTGTTGGTATTGCTTGAGTATAGCATCCCTGTAACCCTAGTGTATGTAGTTGGCTTCCACTGCAACACTGTCCTTGTTGACACTCCATGGTGGGTGGGGAGCAGGGTTGGCGAATCTGTTTTCTTTCATCGTGGCTTCCCCAAAAAACACTGGTTCTCGTTTCAAAAATAAGAGAAGACATGTTGACACAGATACAGTTTCATCTTCTGATGATGAAACTTGTGTTAGAAATGTAGATTCATGGCCTCGATTTCTGGTTGTGGAAGGTGTTAATGGCCAACCACTCAAGATCAATCCTTTTGTTGTTTTTAAAGCTATACAAGGAATATGTGAAGAACGTCACTCGTTTACGGTCTGGTTCTCTTTTTTTAGAGTGTGCAAGGAGACAGCAGTCTCTAAATCTGCTAAATGCACGTCATTTTGCAGATACTGAGATAGTTGTCTCAGTGCACAAGTCTCTTAATTCATGTAGGGGCATTGTTCGTGATCGGGCTAAATGTCTGTCTGACATGTCAGAGGATGAGATTGAGGTGCAACTGAAATCTTAAGGCGTGACTTCCGTAAAACGATTCACCCGAACAGATAATGGCAGAGTAATCAATACCACTACATATCTTTAGACCTTTTCACTGTCAAAACTTCTGACATCCATCAAAGCTGGATATTTTAACATCGGAGTGGATATGTATATTCCAAATCCACTCCGTTGTTTTAAGTGTCAACATTTTGGACATGGGGCCAAATCTTGCACACACGATCCAATTTGCTCCCGCTGCAGTGGCAAACATGACAATATCGATTGCACCAATGATATCAAGTGTGCAAACTGCAACGGTGAGCACATGTCCTACTCCAAGTTATGTCCAGTATTTGACAGAGAATCCAAAATTGTGAAAATAAAGTACACAAACAACATTTCGTTTTCTGAAGCCAAGAAATTGGTAGACCAAGCTCCCAATTCTCCGTCCTCAAGGTCATACTCTGTCGCAGTTTCTTCTGCCATCAAAAAGGTGAATACTTCATGTCAGACAGCAATTAGCTGGGTCAAGGATCAGCAAACAATGCTCTACTCTCTTTCTGAGATGACT